CGGCGGTGCGATCGAGGAGTTGTGCTGCGGAGGGTTGTCGGTTTCCAGGAATTCTCCCACTCGTTTCCGGGTTCTCAGCCTCTTAGATGCGGGGGTAGTGACTGTAGACAACGGCGGAAAATCCGTTGTCGGAGCGTGTGCCGGAGGATCGGCTCCGGGATCGAAAGGTGTCGTGCCTGGGTTCAGTGTCGCGAGAGCATTCCCCTCAGAGTTCATTTTTTTCTTCTTCTTTGAACTTTAACATAAAATTTTCCTCTTTGAACTTAGTAATATCACCAAGTTTCAGCTCCAAACCCATTAAACACAATTTTATAAAATTCAAATACGATATCAGCAAAAACAAGTATAAATTTCAAAGCTCGACCTAAAGAACGAATTAGCACATGATATTTTTACTGGAGCAAGTCCAGAATTTAAGGACCAACACATAAAAATTCCAGCAATTCACATAAAATACACAAATTATAAAAATTCATAAAAGATTCAGCCGTTTATCAATTTTAATTAAAACCAAACTAATTTCAACTCCGAAAATTCCAATATTTTTACAGGATGTAAGTACACATAAACTAAGCATCTCAGCCAAAATTCAAAATTTTCTAGCTATTAACCAATTTATCATAATTAAAACACTTTACAACAAAAACCGTAAACAAATTATTTACCATATCAATATCAAGCTAATAATTCTACAAATTTTATACAGCAACCAAATCAGGTAGAAAGATATCATATTAAAATGTCATAAATTTTGGAGCAATACACTATTTATTTTAAATTTAACATGTATCTGACCAGAAATCACTATAATTTTTAAAAATAGCTACAGACCTCAGAAAATTCTAAAATTTTTACACGAGCTATATAAATACCAGAGTCATTGCAGTTAAAATTGTACATCAATCGGACCAGTATACAATTTTTCATGAATTAAATATTATTCAGCAGCTAGATCGGTTTCAAAAAATCATATAGGACCGGAATCACACCCAATTCGTCCGAGGCCTTCGCCATGAGGCCAAGGACTCGACATAGTTCCAAAATCCACAGTCCTAACACGAATTTGATGGGATTTCGCATGATTTCACATTAATCGACAAAATCCCTACATAAACGCATAATATATAATTCAAAATAGCGAAATAACTTCAAAGCTCGAAACACATATATAAACGAGAGGGTAATCGAGCTTCGGTACCGTTCTCGGGATTAGTACGCGATGGCAATCAAAAAGATGGCGAGACGGGCTGTTCGGAGGCCGGGGGCACGCTCGTCGGGCTCAACGTCAACGGCTCGCGGGGGTGGTAATTACGTAGTCTTGCGGGGCTGCTCCGACTCGCTAGGGATGCCGAAAAACGATCGCGGAGGTGCTGACAGATAGCCGGGACTTGCTGGTGGTGCTTGATCGAAACAAGAAGGCTCGCGGTGGCGGCTTACGACCCAACGGAACACGGTCTGATGGTGATTGCAGGACTGATCACGTCAGGGCTCTCTGTTGGTTCACGGCTTGAATGGCGGCGACTGACTAGCAGAGGGAAGGATCGTCAGGCGGTTCGACGGACCAAGGCGCTGGCTTTGAGAGAGAGAGAGAGGCGGCGATGCGCGGGGTCTGAAAGTTCGTCGGTTGTTGCTGGTCCTCTTCCGGCGAAAGAAGATGGCATGAGGATGATAATGTTGAGGGACGATGGTGATGGTGAAGGCTCGATGATGCTCGGATGGTGGTGGTCTGATGCGCAGGACGAGGGAGATGATCGTGGTTCTGCAACTCTTTTTATTTTTTATTTTTTTATTTTTTATTTTTTATTTTTTGATGATGGCGATCAGAACTGATAAGGGGGGCGAGAGAAATAGGAGAAGGAAAAGCTGCGGGGAAAAACTTTTATCTGCTAAGGGTTTACGATTGATCCCATATTTATATATATAGCATATAGGTTTTCTATTTCTTAATCTCCAAGACACTCACACACACCTACACGCACAAAGAAAGGGAAAGACCGGGTCTGCTGGGCCGGGTTCAACACTTAGAATAAGTTCTCGGGCTCGGATTAATCACGCGACAATTAAAATATTAACCGAATAAAATATCTACATATATTTATAATACACATTTAATCACATAATAACAATTAACATTTATTTACATATTAATATGCAATTAATCATTTAGATATTTAACAATAATAAAATAATAATAATAATAATAATAATAATAATAATAATAACAATAATAACAATAATAATAATAATAATAATAATAATGCAATAAAATAATCTCAAATAATTCATAAACGAACGGGGCGTTACTGTCTACCCACCTTACAAAGAATTCCGTCCTCGGAATTCGAAAATAAACATCTAGAAAGCATTAAGACGCAAAGGGTACATCAAACATAAGATTTGGTGTTCCCCTCGATTCTCTGTCTCTCCCTTCCAAGTCGTCTCGCTCTCGACTCGACTACCACTACTGAACTTTAACGAGTACCCCTCCCGGCCTTTTCCTGACGGACCCTTGGTCCCAACAAGTTACCGGTACCTCCATACAGGTATGGTTCTGCCTAACACGCAGCTCGTCACAAAATCACACATACCTCGAGGTCACGCACATGTTTCTCTATCACGAGACATCTCACGTGTCATGCATCCTCGTAATTCCCAGTGGTGAGTCAATCATCAGGCTAAGACATCGACTTGGTCGAGGATCATAATAAACCTGACCGCTACCTCTTTTCTTATTACCAAGCTTCTCACTTCGCGTGGTCATAACAATGCAATTGAGTACAACGACTCTTAAAGGTAAAACATCCAAAATTGCCTCACTTCTTTTGTCCTCCAAAGAACGACTTAGGTCAATGCAATACACGTGAAAATTTCCCGAAATTGATACGTATTTGCACGCTAGAGACTTGGCAGCGTGACATGAATAGCTGGCCTGGCATGCGGCAACGCGGCACGCTACATGCGGCACACTACGCACGGCACTTCCTACAACTCGAGATGCATCACCGAGCGTGGCACGCCTGTGCGCGGCACCAACAAGCAGTACACCTGCACCACCCGCATACAGTAGCTACGGTTCATTTCTCATCAACTGCTACATCTCCCCGTTTCTATACGTATATGAATATCGGAAATTCCCTAGTGTTTTGCGACCCTAATTCCATCTACAAAATCCAAATACTCCGACTTCGCTTGCCAGGGTACTTGTACTTCATCATGAGTCAATTGGCTGATTACTCACAATGTTTCTCACAACTCCTGACTACCCTCCCAATGACTCCTTATTATTACATAACAATCATAGAATTGGCCTGAACCTCCTCCTTGATCCCTCGGCATGACGCCCAATTCGTTCGCAAAAGGATGACTGATCTACGCCATTCTCTAGGCCCAGGTTTTCTACAGAGTTACAACAT